TCACATGTTCAAGATAAATTACTGTAGTTCACTCATCTTAAAATCATACTGAAGAAGATCTCTGTGTAGCTCAAAAGCTAGCCTCTCTCAGCAACAGAAGTTGTCCAATAAAAAGATATTACCTCACCCACCTTGTCTCTCTAATACCCTGGAACCCCCAACACACCTACAACAACACTGCAAACAACTGATATTTTAGGTATATAAGGATCTGTGGTGTTAAAGAAAGTGCCCAGCGGATAGAAAATTAGACAAAAAAAATATAATCTTTTTAATACATGAAGACCGTTTAAAAGAGGATATGAAGTATGTTCACGTACATGGGAGAACAACACTTTTACAGTTATAGAATATAATGGGATACAGAGCTCAAAAGTCAATGGAGACCACACACAAGTGTGAAGTTAAGTACTTAATTAACTCTGGACCCTAACCAGATAACATGACGATAAAAACAAAAGGAGATAAGAGGGTACAGCAGAAATCTTTACCCCCTATTGCATTCCCCTCCCTTTTAATTTTGAAATCCTTTTCTATTTAACTCCCTCTCACCCATCTTTGTTTGGAACTCTCACATTTCCTTTCCCATTCTGAACCATCTTAGCTCTGACATCTCGCTACCCCCCCCACCGTGCTACTTCTTGACCTAACTTACCTGTCATTCTTCTCCTGGCCCAAATGCCTTTATGCCACTGTATCATTACTCAGCAAAACGACAAAAACAACACTGGCTGCCCAGCGAGTCCTAAGAAAAATATCAACAGGAAAGAGGACTGTCCCGCCCAGAATGGCCTTTCCCCTGGTCAGTCTTTCCCACCATTGCTGTTCCAGCCCCTCCACTAGCAGAGGGAGGGAACGGGGCTGCTGTGCCTGGGAAGAAGTATATACATGTCTTTCTTCACCCAACCTTAAAGTATCAGAACCTATAAGCTTTGATTTGTTATTCTTCCACCCACACGTTAGAGAAACTTAATCAGTCACTTGCCAAAGAGAGCTCCCATCTATGCACATAAAAATGTACTGTAAAATGGCATTTCAATCTTCCAGCTGAATGCAATTAAACTAGCATCAGAAGTGAAGCTCAAGTTCCCACATCTTAATTTTGAGAAGTCACTAATTACAGCGCATATGGAAACTAAGAGCTATTCAAATGATGTGGGGTTTTTTTATTACCCATTTTGGTCCCATTCTGTACTCCAGGTTTCCCCATAGCCTTTGAAATGATTTCTTAAAAATAGACTTGTCTCCTACATCACTGCCATTTATTTAAGATCAGAACCTACATGAAATAAGTGTCCAGATCTGTGGATCAGACAAAACAGAGTCACAACCTAAGGTCAAAACTATCCATGATGAACGAATAATCTATACAGTAAAGGAGCCACACTTATTGGCATCTTTTCAAAAAGACGCTTTTCCAGATACATGACAAACAAAAATTACCATCCCATACCAGATTAGCTATCCAGTCTTGTCTAGTATCTTGTCTATTAAAGTCCCCAGAACTGGATAAAGTGTAAGAAACCCCACATTAGACATTATTAGACATGGTCAAAAATATTAGGTTTGGGATAGGGGGATTTTGAACAAAAAAAATGGGCTTCTCTTGGAAACAAAAAAAAAATGTGTTTCGAAATTTTCTTTCAACTTTTTTCAATTCAACAAAAGAGAAAACTGAAAACCAAAACCTGAAAAATTAGTTTTGTTTTTTTGTAAAACCTAAAAAACAAAAATCTAGAAAATGTCCACAAAAACATTAGGAAAAAACAACCTTAAGTTGTTCATTTCTCTCAGCATTTTTCATGGAACATACTACCCATTTTCCGATCAGTTCTAGAAATTACATGTGCCTCCATACCTTTGAGCATTTTAATTTCAACCGTTTTCATCAACTAAGCACAAACAGAGCTGACGAGTTCTGCAAAGGGATAAATCGTTAAAGAAAACCTCAATGCTGCATGAGGTGGGTTTGACAGGAATTCCATGGTGATCCAGTCAACAGTGAACCACAATGTTCAGTATGGTGTCAGGAGACACCGTGGACTGCTGAAACTGGAATTTTGGAGATGAAGAGCATTGTGTTAATGTAACAGGCTGGCAGCCGTTGCCTGAAAACCACATCCTGCTAGCAGAGGATGACCCTGCTGGAAAATGTTGTGCCTTTTGCTGACTATCTGTTGCAGGAAGCTCCGTTTAGTCCAGCCACTTGTAAGGAGTGGAAGTGGCTCTCTTGAGTTGGGGTGTAGGCCAAGCAGTTTTTAAAGAGGAACACTGGGAGCAGCCATGTCTGGGAAATGGCTTGAGTTGCATTTTGGGTAATTTCATTTGGCATAAAATGAAACCTCAGGAAGGGGTTAAATTTCGACCCACTACAAGTTGTGTGACCAAGATATGGTGCAGATTTGCAAAGCCACTTGCTTACAAGAAGTCGTTATGTTTTAAGCTTTGGAAGATTTCTTGAGCTCTGGATAAGCACAAGAAAAATCCAACTAAGTCAAATAAACACGAAAACAAAGCAAGAATGGGAACGTATGGAAGAGAAAGAGGAAATATGATTTTTTTTAAAATCCATGCTACCCCTATCCAAGAAAGAACAGAAATTCGTGTGCAGCAATTTTTGCCACACATGGTGGGCTCAATACACTGTTTAAAGACTGCATGTAACCCATGTGAGAAATCCTTTTTGGCAAAACCCTCATAAAAGCACAAAGTAAATTAAAAATCCTCTTATCCTGTCTTTTCAAAGCAGAGACTTAGAAATGATCCCAAATAAAAGCCTCATACCTAGTCAACTCTAAACTTTGGGGGAAGTTGAAAACTGAATGTCAGTTTTGAAGCTCAAGCCTGTCACTACTGAAAAATACATATCAAAAGCTGGGGGTTACCATAAACCTATCTAACAGGAGCGTTGTGAGGCTTAAACAATGTACGTTTATTAAATGTTCTGAGATACTGGAAGGAAAGATCCTATGTTGTTCATTCCTTGTGTACCTTAGAAACTCAGCTTGGTTAACAGTCCCCAGAATTGTACATCTGGGGCAGAGCCAGTGCTAGGCATAAGCAGACTAAGCAATTGCTTAGGGCCCCGAGCAGCTCAATGGAGCCCCCTATTTGCTTTTCATTATGTGTGTAGCGGGGGGGGGGGGGGGATATTCTTACTTAGGGCTCCCACCTCTTAGCCAGAGCAGAGCATTCCCAGTAATGACTCCAGATACCACAATATCAGCTGCATTAGACTAGATGGACAGACAGACTGTGGAATTTGCTGCCCCATTGGTCCAGTGATTGTTCATCTTCAGGACATGCTGCAAAGACTGTTGATTCAACCAGGCTTTTTCTGAGGGAGAGGCATCAAGGCTGGCCTTAGGGGCGGGCCCAGGGTGCCATGGTCAGGGGGCACCGTGCAGCAGCACAGGGGTGCACACTGCCGGCTGGAAGGGGAGCACCACAAACTTGTAAAGATGATGCATGGGGTGTGGGAGCAGATTTCTCCCTGCTTCATCCCCACAGAAGAATGGTGGGGGGGAGAGAATGGTGACACTTCTCCACCCCCCAACGATCCTCACCACCCCCATAGGGGGCTCTGATGGGGGAGCAAAGAGCAACGCCAAGCACTCCATGCATCCAAGTCATTTTCCAAACCCGGGCTTTGCTGTGAGGCGAGCATCAGGGATTGCTGCCCTGCTGCCCTCCTCTTATGCAGCCCAGGGGTGCAAAAATACAATGGTGCCATTTTCCCTAAAGTTGGCCCTGCGAGGCATTGTGGAAGTTCAAGAAGCCCCTGATTTTCAACAGTCAGTACTTCAGTGGTATTTACTTCATTACAGATTTCAATCACACACACACACCACCACCAACACACAGACTAAAGAGCACGGATCACTCCTACTACTTGAGTTTCTCCATTGAAGTAGCAAGTGCATTACTGTTCACCTGTGCAGACCAACACTGGAAAACAACCACTGTAAAAATAGCAAACAACAAAATAATCTTATTTCATGAAGAGCTAAGGCAAGAAATATGGCCAAAATGTACCTTTCTGAACAGTAATTTTATGATAGATTTTAGTGTTGCTGAGAGCCAGATACATAAGCCTTAGGGCAGAAGTATCTGCATAAAAGATGCTCCTGATAAATATAAATCAAATCTATATTTCATTTTTAAAACAGGGAGAGTTATGTTAATCTCACTCAGTTAAAACTGACAGAGTGGTTGGTAAGTGCTTATCAAAGCACCAATATTGAGTGCAGAAGGGAGTATAACATGGGTTTTATAAGCGACAACACATTTGGTTCTTATTTAAATGCCTGAAAGGCACCCAAATCGGGCTAACCCTCATATTAGCCCCCCCACTGAATGATACACAGCACTCCCCACAAACACAAATATTATGCATTATCTTCACAAAAGCCACACTGCTGGAAGAACAGGTAGAAAATACTACACCACAAAGCTGCCTTCCACACATCACACCTGTACACTTAAGCTAATGTCTGTGAAGTGCTTTTAAAGCAGAGCACCATTGTAATTGTTAAGTGAAATATTCACTATTTTACGTCAGAGCCAGCATCCATGCTCTAAGAACTTAGGGTGAAACCCTGGCTTAACTGAAGTCCAGGGGAGTTTTGCCATGGATGTAAGCGGAGCCAGGATTGGGGTTTTAAACCTCCTTGGCTGGAGCAGGAACTTAAAAGGGAAAATGAAATTTATTCTTAAGGTACAGTTGTTTGTCAGATGATGACCCTTTTCCAGCTCTGGCCTCAGAACTGCAGATGAGCCGTAATAACGATTTCCAATGAAAACAACCGAGGCCAGGCGCTCACTGGAGCACTCTGGACGCAGGAGAACACAGGGTTTCCGGCCACAGGCTGAAGCAGGGCGATGGGAACACCCGGCCGATTCCCTGGTTTCTGACAGCTCAAGCTGGCGTCAGAGTTTCCCAAGGTTGCTGCCAGGTAAGTGTCTCACTTCAGCTCACTGCCAGCATGTGCCTCTCTCACCTGCACGAGAATAACTGCGCTGGTCTCATTGGCTCCTTCGCTGTGTGCCAGGGAACATGCAATCCGCCGCCGCACCCTGCGGGCAGCTGCACAGAGCAAGCGGGCAGGGCACCGCCAGCGCACCCCGCTCTAGCACCGAGACCGTCCGCACAGAGCGCCTTCGCGGCTGGAGCTGCAGCCCCCTCCCGCCGGTGGCCCGGGCTGCCCTGGGCGGCGGGTTCAGTCCCTCTCCCCGTGCCCCGCCCCGGCTCCTGCGCATGTGGCTCCGGCTGGAGACATGCACCGGGGCTGGTTCTGCCGAGGGTTGCAGCAGCAGCAGCCCCATGCCCAGCTGGATGGGTTCGCCTCGCCCGGCCCCACTGCCTTGGTACCCAGCTCCTCTTACCTCACGGGGACTCGCCCGGCTCGGCCCCGCCGCCGCCCGCGAGCAGAGGCAGCGGGCGCACGGCCGCCCCGGTCGGTGCAGCAGGCGGGGGACGCCCTGGCATTCACCCTGCCTGCCGGAGCAGCAAATCTTCGCAGCCTCCGCCGTGCGCTCCGAAGCGGCGGCGTCAGCCGGGGAGCCGCCTGCTGCTCACCCGAGGGATCGCAGCCCCGGCCGCCCGGTGCCGCCCGCTGGGAAATCCGGCCCTCGCGCTCCGGGAGAGGCTGTGCTGGGGCCCGCACCCGTGGGGACTGGAGCGGGGAGGGGGAAGGGAACAGCAGGGTAGCCTTGCTAGTAAGGAAGGAAGCCGCTGGGGGCAGAGATTGGAGTGGAGGACAGCGCCGCTGACGAGGGAGAGGGAGAAACTAAGAGCTGGCAGGTGAGAGGGACTTGGGGATGGGGACGAGCAGCGGAAAGAGGTGAATTACAGAGTCAGAATGAAGGAGACAGAGAGCCGGGGTTTAAAGCTGGCCTTCCTACTTGTGGGCAGAGTTTTGAACTGTTTGCACGAATAGTAGTATTTAGGCACCTGGCTGCACCCACAATCCAAATAGCTACACCATTAAGGAGTTAGAATCAGGTTTAAAAAATTGTGTTCTAGTCTTGCCTCCTAAATTACCCTTGATTTGCTGTAGGGACAAACCCGTATACCTGTCTCCATTGGTCAGCCAGGAAGGTTGAGGCCTGATCCTACCATCACTTACAATAGGGTTGCCACTTCTGAGGCCTGGTCTACACTACAGGGTTAGGTCAAATTTAGCCGCGTTAGGTCGATTTAAAAATGAACACGTCCACACAACCAACCCCATTCCGTCGACCTAAAGGGTTCTTAAAATCCACTTCTGTACTCCTCCCCGATGAGGGGAATCGTGCTAAAATCAACCTTGCTGGGTTGAATTTGGGGTAGTGTGGATGCAAATTGACGGTATTGGCCTCCAGTAGCTATCCCAGAGTGCTCCCTTGTGACTGCTCTGGACAGCACTTTCAACTCCGATGCACTAGCCAGGTACACAGGAAAAGACCTGGGAACTTTTGAATTTCATTTCTTGTTTGGTCAGCGTGGCGAGCTCAGCAACACTGGTGACCATGCAGTCCTAGAATTGCAAATGAGCTCCAGCATGGACCGAAAGGGAGACACTGGATCTGATCGCTGGATGGGGAGAAGAATCTGTGCAGGCAGAACTCCGATCCAAAAGAAGAAATGCAAATATGTTTACCAAAATCTCACAGGGCATGTTGGACAGAGGCTACACCAGGGACATACAGCAGTGCCGCGTGGCGTGAAAGTTAAGGAGCTCAGGCAAGCCTAAAGGACAATGGAGGCAAACGGTCGCTTCGGCTCAGAGCCCCATGCATGCAGCTGTTCATAGAAGCAGCATGCCATTCTACGGGGGACCCTACCACTATCCCACCCCTGTCTGTGGACACCTGCAAGGGGGGAGTCTCACGTCGCATGGAGGAGGATTTTGTGGATGAGGAAGAGGAGGAGGATGAAGAGGAGGAGAATGCGTAGCAGGCACGCGGTGAATCCATTCTCCCCAGCATCCAGGACCTTTTCATCACCCTGGAGCCAATACCCTCCGAAGGCAGGATCCCTGACCCTGAAGCCGGAGAAGGCACCCCTGGTGAGTGCACATTTGTAACTACAGTACAGGGTTTAAAACCAATAGTGTTCATGGTCACGTGATTGAAATAGGGAAATTTTTGTAAGGGAACAGTAAAAGGACCCCGTTCATGCTGGGCTGTTTACGCTTGGCTAAAAGGGATCATCCCAGAGAATAGCCACTCGGTGGGGTGGGGTAGGTGTGTGCTGCACATCTACCCAAATACTGCAGCCCCTCCTTTTAAATATGAAACCCAACCCATTGCTTGCTCTGGGAAAGGGGGGTGCTGCAGTTTGAAAACATTCCCACATGTTATGAAGACGTAAGAAGCCAACTCAGTTTTACTCTCCCTTTTTATCTCCTCCCAGGTGCAAATGTTTCTACGCTCCCCCTGTCATCTCTGTCCCTGAAGTTATCGCAGATTAGAAAGTGAAAATAGTGCACTCGCAATGACATGTTTTCCGAGCTTATGCAGTCCTCCCTCACTGTTAGGGCACAGCTTAATGCATGGAGGCTTTCAGTGGCAGAGGCCGGGAAAGAATAAAGTAAGTGAAAAGAGCAGAGGCAGGACGCGATGCTGAAGCTAAGCGGGGAGCAAACGGACATGATGAAGCGTCTGTTGGGGGAGCAAACGGACATGATGAAGCGTCTGTTGGGGGAGCAAACGGACATGATGAAGCGTCTGTTGGAGCTGCAGAAAAGCCAACAAGAGCACAGACCCCCGCTGCATCCTCTGTATAACCACCTACCCTCCTCCCCATGTTCCATAGCCTCCTCACCCAGATGCCCAAGAATGCGGGTGGAGACGCTCCAGGCACCCAGCCACTCCAGAGGATGGCCCAAGCAACAGAAGGCTGTCATTCAGTTTGATTTTTAGTGTGGCTACAATAAATAATGTGGCCTTGTTCTTCCGTCCTCCCCCACCCACCCGGGCTACCTTGGTTGCTATCTCTTTTATTTTCTTCTTCTTCTTTTTTCTTTAAATTAATAAAGAAAGAATGCATGGTTTCAAAACAATAGTTACTTTATTTCGAAGGGGGGAGGGTGGTTGGCTTACAGGGAATTAAAATCAACAAAGGGGGCAGGTGCCATAAAGAGGAAACACACACAACTGTCACACCGAAGCCTCGCCAGTCATGAAACTGGTTTTCAAAGCCTCTCTGAGGCACCTTGCTGTGCTCTTCTAATCACCCTGGTGTCTGGCTGCTCAAAATCGGACGCCAGGCGATTTGCCTCAACTCCCCGCCCCGCCATAAATGTCTCCCCCTTACTCTCACAGATATTATGGCGCACACAGCAAGCAGCAATAACATTGGGAATGTTGGTTGCACTGAGGTCTGACCTAGTCAGCAAACAGTGCCAGCGAGCTTTTAAACATCCAAAGGCACATTCTACCACCTTTCTGCACTTTCTAAGCCTATAATTGAAGTGCTTCTTACTACTGTCCAGGTTGCCTGTGTAAGGTTTCATGAGCCATGGGAGCAAGGGGTCAGCTGGGTCCCACAGTATAACTAGTGGAATTTCAACATCCCCAATGGTAATTTTCTGGTCTGGGAAGTAAGTCCCTACTTGCAGCTGCTCGAACAGCCTGGAGTTCCTAAATATGCGAGCGTCATGCACCCTTCCAGGCCATCCCACATTGATGTTGGTGAAACATCCCTTGTGATCCACCAGTGTTTGCAGCATCATTGAGAAGTACCCCTTGCGGTTTATGTACTGGTTGGCAAGGTGGTCCGGTGCCAGATGGGGATATGCGTTCCATCTATCACCCCACCACAGTTAGGGAACCCCATCGCAGCAAAGCCATCCAGTATGACCTGCACATTTCCCAGAGTCACTACCCTTGATAACAGAATGTCAATAATTGCATTGCCTACTTGGATCACAGCAGCCCACACAGTAGACTTGCCCACTCCCAATTGATTCCCAACTGACCGGTAGCAGTCAGGCATTTCAAGTTTTCACAGGGCTAACGCCACTCGCTTCTGACCTGTCAGGGCAGCTCTCGTCTTGGTATTCCTGTGCTTCAGGGTGGGGGAAAGCAACTCACAGAGTTCCAGGAAAGCGGCCTTACACGTGCGAAAGTTTCGCAGCCACTGGGAATCATCCCATACCTGCAACACTATGCAGTCCCACCAGTCTGTGCTTGTTTGCCGAGCCCAGAATCAGCGTTCCACTGTATCAACCAGCCCCACTGCCACCATGATGTCCCAATTGCCACAGCCCGTGCTTTCAGGAATGTCTGTGTCCATGTCCTCATCAAAATCCTCCTCGTGCTGGCGTCTCTTAGCCCAGTTCTGCATATACTCCAGGACAATGCGCGAGGTGTATACAGTGCTCACAACAGCAGCGGTGCTGATGAGCTGAGTGGGCTCCATGCTTGCCATGGTATGGCATCTGCAGGAAAGCAGGAGAGCAGAGTTGCAGCGGAAGCGGTGGATGATGACGGTTAGCAGCCCTACTGCATCATCTGCTGACAGCAGCACCCAGGACACAACTGCAGCAGTGATGCTGAGCTGAGCTGAGTTGAGTGGGCTCCATGCTTGCCGTGGTATGGCGTCTGCATTGAAAAAAGGCACGAAACGATTGTCTGACGTTGCTTTCACGGAGGGAGGGGTGATTGACGATGTGTACCCAAAACCACCCACGACAATGCTTTTGCCCCATCAGGCATTGGGAGCTTAACCCAGAATTCCAATGGGCAGCGGAGACTGCGGGAACTGTGGGATAGCTCCCACAGTGCACCACTCCGTAAGTCAATGCTAGCCACAGTAGTGAGGACACACTCCACCGACTTAATGTGCTTAGTGTGGACATACGCAATCGACTGTATAAAATCGATTTCTAAAAATCTACTTCTATAAGATCGACCTAATTTCATAGTGAAGACATATCCTGACTTAAAAAAAAATAAAAACAGACATTGAGGACTGTGGTTAGCTGATAAAACTGGACAACTGGCAGTGTGCAGGAGCCCCCTTACCCATTTCCCCGGGACAACTCTCTCAAGAAAGGAACAATCCTGCAAAGACCTGGACAGGTGGCAACCCTTGCACTTGTGAATTCTGTAGCTTAAAATCAAACCTTGAAAAATGGGCAGGTTTAGTTTATGACAAGGTGACAAGGGGTTGGGAGGGAAAGTTCTTCACTCGAGCGGAGAAGAACACACATTTCTCTGGTAAGTTGATATTTTTTTCTGTCTTTGAAACTGTTCAGGTGTGTGGGTTCTTAAAATAAGTCCTGGGCAGAGAAGGCAGGTGAGCTGACCAAAGATTCATTTATTATAACACATCTTCAAATGTACGTGCCTAATTATGTTTCTAGTCACCTATAATTTTAGGTACCCATTTTATCCAGCTAGATAATTGAATCACTTAATTCACATAACTTCTGTTTTGATGTTATCTGCTCCCACTCTTGTGCATGACTATACACTCTTTAAAAGTACAGAATGTATCTTGGAACTACTGAGATATAGATGCAATTAAACAGATCACATGAGCAATACTTCTAACCCCAGTATTATGTTCTCTGATACCCTCCAGATGTACAGTTGATCTGGGGGAAAAAGCACTGAGGCAGCCCTGAGAGGCTGAATATTGATATCATTATGATTTAAAGAAGTGGCTACAGGGAAAAGCTAGAAAAAGGGTGATGAGGGACAGTGAGATACTGTCTGGTACAGCCAAGTTCTTTATCTGCTGAACTGGTAGTTGTCCAAAAGAGATTAGGAATCAGTGATACAGAGAATATGATGGAAACTTCCAGACAGACTTTTGAACTCTTGCAAGAGAAGTTCTAAAAAGCTTATATACCATACAGGGAGAAGGAGGAGAAAAAAGAAGAACTCTAGAGTCAACAATCAGAAAACCTAGAGAGGACTACTAAATTAACTACTAAAGTATAGTAACATTCACAGCTTCTAGTCTGACATCCTACCAATGAAAGAAATCTTAGTTCTCGGGTAGAAGACTGTGAAAGAAATTTAGTTCTCCAGATCACGCTAATTTTCTTAATCATAAAATAAAGGCTGAAGAGATAAAACTAAAAGACTGGATTACTGATACCACATCTGACAATATAAACTGAGAAGACTCCTTTTTACACTATGTGAGAAGATGTTTATAAACATATTGTACATGCATACATAAATGTATTGTGCATGCATACATAAATGCATTCAAAACCAAATTAGCAAAAAGCTATCAGTATGATATTGTCCAATAAACTCAGAAAACTGAAAGGATGAAATGCTGTAGTAAAAATAAGATAAGCATCAATAGATGATAATATCATTAACCCAGTTCAGCACCAACATGCAGTCCATTTCACAGTCCAGTGGACATCTGTCTTTTTCTATCTGTCCATCACAAATCAAATGGATTCTCAGAATGTTACCAAAGTGCTCACCTATCTTCTTCCAATTTGCTTGAGGAACTACAAGACCACTGACAGAATTCTGGCAGGAACTGATATCTACATTTCTTGTTTCTCACTGTGGAAATAATAAGGAAGGAGAAGTGGTGGAAACTTTCCCATGAATAATTACAGCCTCTGCTTAATCTTTGTGATGAAAAATACTCTTGATTCACTTTAAAATTATATAGAAACCTATAATAAGTAATAAAATGCAATGTTAAAGCACAGGTAACTTATTTAAAACAATTCAGCATGATAATTTATCCTTTCACATCTTAACAGCTAAAGTAAGATAGAATCCTATTTTCTAACTGCTACACTGCCTGTTAGAACAAAAGAAAGTAATGCATGATTATAGCTTTGAGAAGAAAGATTTTAAATAGGAGTGTCCATTGTCTCAATAGTGGACTTTAATGAGACTATCTATATAGCACCTTACACTCAGAGAAAGCTCTCAAAGTACTTTACAAAGTTTACATACTTTTTCTGTTTTACTTAGAAATTAATATAATGTGTGATTTATGAGGTGGCACAAGGGTATGCGGCACTTTACCAACATATTAGAAAACAAGGTGTAAACCTCTTGACAAATTTACAAAATCAGAAATAGCACAACAGACAACAAAAACCTCACATGATTTGTTTAATTGTACATGTATCTCAGTAGTTCCAAGATACCTTCTGTATTTTTAAAGAGTATACAGTCAAACACAAGAGTGGGAGCAGATAACACCAACATGGAAGTGATGTGAAATAAGTGATTCAACTATATAGCTGGATGACAAATGGGTGCCTAAAATTATAGGTGACTAGAAACATAATAAGGCACCTACATATGAAGATGTGTTGAGCCATGTCATAAATTAATCTTTGGTCAGCTCATCTGCCCTCTCTCTCCAGGGCATATTCTAACACCCCAAAACCCCTGAAGAGCTTCAAAGCCATAACAAAATCAACTTGCCAGAGAAATGTAAGTCCTTCTCCACTCAAGTGAAGAACTCTCCCTCCCTACCTCTTGTCACCTTGTCATAAACTAAACCTGACAATGTTTCAGGGCTAGCAAGATTTAATCCCTGGGCCAGTGCCAGCTTTCCTATACCTAAAAGTGCTGTAATTTTAATTTTTTAAATGATATTTTGGGGTAGAGAAAAAGATACCTTAGGGCATTTTTAGAGATTTTTATGGCTTTCTTTAGGATCTGTATAGTTGCATGCTGGTAACCAAGGCTTTCAAGGCCAAGGGATATGAAAAAAGTCCTAATATAATTTAAAAGTCAAAGGCATTCCCAAAATAGTGTTTCTAGTTAACTTATGTGGCACATACAGAATGCATGGTGGTGTGGTTGTGCTGTAAAGATTTTAACAGCATTCTTATGGGATCACTTACATAAATCATTTGATATCATGCCAATAAAATCTTTGTAATCACACTAATGACATCTATATACTACACCATGTATTCTCTAAATCCAAAACCTATATATACATACACACATATATGTACACATGCTGTAAGCAACCCAATTCTCTTCCTTCAGCTCCCTCCTTAAACATATATATTCAGTCGCTTCACCCGTCTC